AAAGTACTCCTGGACTATAGAAAGTACTCCTGGACCATAGAAAGTACTCCTGGACCATAGAAAGTACACCTGGACTGTAGAAAGTACACCTGGACTATAGAAAGTGCACCTGGACCTGTCATTCTGTGTCTGTCTCTACTTCCTGCTAAAGGGAGTGTTTTCTTCCCACTGTCTCCTCTGTTCTTGCTCAGGATGAGAGACTGTGATGAAGTGAAGATTCGACACAATCTACTTCTTCCTCTGAGAGAGAAGTTTTACTAACAGTAGTTCATCACGTATGTTTTTGTTCAGAGATCTGAGACGACTTCTGTTGTGAATAGGAGCTACAAAAATAAACTGTATTTAATTAAAAGTACTTCCTGCAGTGTTTACTGCAGTAAAAGTAATTTTACTGCAGTGTTTACTGTAGTAGAAGTACTTCCTGTGATTTTAATCAACTTCAGGTTTGTTGGACTCACCCTGAAGACAGGCTTTCTCTGTCCACATCGATGCTGTCCTCGTCCCCGGTGCTGCCGGCCTCATGAGGCCTCTTCATGGTGCCAAGGGGGGCTGATCCGGAGCTCTGGGAGGGGAGGGCTATCAGAACAGGTGCACTGGATCCTCCAACTGGTCAAACTGATCACGTTGTGAGGATCTAATCTGAAAGTTTTCTTTAAATCCAACAGTTACGTTTTTTTCCAGAGTAGAAAATAAAATAAGTTTTTTGTTCTGCAGAAAAACATGTTCTCATCTTCAAAGTTGAAACTTGGCCTCACGTCGATCACTTCCTGCTGAAGTCTGAAAAAGACCAGATCTTCAGACTGAGTCCTGCTGCTCAGCCGAGCGGCTCAGAACCGCAGCCGGGAACAGGGTCTGTGTCCCGGCTGCAGCCTGGACTGAAGGTCCCTGTGTCCTCCTCCTCTTTCCCACGGAGCCTGGGAAAAACACACACACACACGCGTGCACATGCATGTGCACGTGCAGCTCTCTGGTCCTGCTGATAAAACTGTCTCAGGGCGCATGTCTGCGTGACGGGGTGGTGTGTAGGAACGGAACCATAGCTGCAGATATACAGTCGCTCACCTGCTCTGACTCACATATGAGATTAAGTGACACCCCATTCCTAATCCACAGGGTTCAATATGACGTTGGTCCACCCTTTGCAGCTAGAACAGCTTCAACTCTTCTGGTAGTCTGTCCACAGGTTTAGGAGTGTGTTCATGGGGATTTTTGACCATTCTTCCAGAAGCTTATTAGTGAGGTCACATACTGATGTTGGATGAGAAGGCCTGGCTCTCAATCTCTGCTCTAATTCATCCCAAAGGTGTTCTGTTGGGTTGAGGTCAGGACTCTGTGCAGGCCAGTCAAGTTCATCCACACCAGACTCTGCATCCATGTCTTTATGGGCCTTGCTTTGTGCACTGGTGCACAGTCATGTTGGAAGAGGAAGGGGCAGCTCCAAACTGTTCCCACAGAGTTGAGAGCATGGAATTGTCCAAAATGTCTTGGTTTGCTGAAGCAGTCAGAGTTCCTTTCACTGGAACTAAGGGGCCAAGCCCAGCTCCTGAAAAACAACCCCACACCTTAATCCCCCCTCCACCAAACTTTACACTTGGCACCATGCAGTCAGACAAGTTCTCCTGGCAACCACCAAGCCCAGACTCATCCATCAGATTGCCAGATGGAGAAGCGTGATTCTTCACTCCAGAGAACGCGCCTCCACTGCTCTAGAGTCCAGTGGCAGCGTGCTCTACACCACTGCATCTGACGCTTTGCATTGCACTTGGTGATGTATGGCTTGGATGCAGCTGCTCCACCATGGAAACCCATTCCATTAAGCTCTCTGTGCACTGTCCTTGAGCTAATCTGAAGGCCACATGAAATTTGGAGGTCTGTAGTGATTGACTCTGCAGAAAGTTGGTGACCTCTTCTCACTATGCGCTTCAGCATCCCCTGACCCTGCTCTATCAGTTTACGTGGCCTACCACTTTGTGGCTGAGTTGCTGTCATTCCCATCCATACATTATCTTCTGCTTATTCTGAAGTCGGGTCGCGGGGGCAGCAGGTTGAGCAGGGAGGTCCAGACATATCTCTCCACAGCCTCTTCCAGCTCTTCTGGGAGGACTCAAAGGCGTTCCCAGGCCAACCGAGAAACATAGTCTCTCCAGTGTGTCCTGGGTCTTCCCCGGGGTCTCCTCCCAGTTGAACATGCCCGAAGTACCTCTCTAGGGAGGCGCCCAGGGGGCATCCTTACCAGATGCCCGAACCACCTCAACTGGCTCCTCTCGACGTGGAGGAGCAGCGGTTCTACTCCCAGTCTCTCCTGAATAACTGAACTTCTCACCTTGTCTCTAAGGGAGAGTCCAGCTACCCTGCGGAGACAACTCATGTTGTCATTCCCAAACACTTCCATTTTCTTATAATACAGCTGACAGTCGACTGTGGAATATTTAGGAGTGAGGAAATTTCATGACTGGATTTGTTGCATAGGTGGCATCCTATCAGTTCCACACTGGAATCCACTGAGCTCCCGAGAGCGACCCATTCTTTCACAAATGTTTGTAAAAACAGTCTGCATGCCTAGCTGCTTCATTTTATACACCTGTGGCCATGGAAGGGATTGGACCACCTGATTCTGATCATTTGGATGGGTGAGCAAATAGTTTTGGCAATGTAGTGTATGTCCTTAACAGTCCTGCTGCTCTGGGGTCAAGATCAAATGGGGCATGGTTTTGATCCCAGGGCAGCAGGAGGGTCAGTTCAGTTCAGAGGCTGCAGGCCGACCAGCTGACGCTGAGCCCAGTTTTTGTTTCACCTGAGAAAAACTCAAATCTGATCTAAGAACTACACAGTGATGGAGGTATATAATACAGTTCCACTGAATTTTCACTTTGTCACAGTCTCCCATCCTGAGCAAGCACAAAGGAAACAGTGGAAAGGAAAATCTCCCTTTTAACCGGAAGAAACCTCCAGCAGAACCAGGCTCAGGACAAGCGGCCATTGACCGGCTGGTTTGAGAGGACAGGAAGGAGAAACAAACAAACACAGAATGTAGGTCCAGATTTAGGTGCAGGTCTGCACCTACATCTATGTAAAAGACAAAAAACAGCTGTAAAGGATATAAAAAATAATTACAAATACAAAACAGGTTGAGCAGAGTAAGTAGAGACAGTAGCAGAGTGAAAAGATGTGGTCAGTTTGTCCTCCAGCAGTCTAAGTCTATAGCAGCAGAACTAAGGGACAGCTCAGTCCCTTATTCTGTCAAATCCAGAATTTAATTCAAAATCTTACTTCTAACCTACAAAGGCCTCAACAACCTAGCTCCATCTTACATCCATCTCCATCTTATATTACAGATCTTATTGTTCCATATTTTCCTAATAGAGCACGTCGCTCTCAGGCTGCAGGTTTACTTGTGGTTCCTAGAGTTTCCAGCAGCAGAATGGGAGGCAGATCTTCCAGTTCTCAGGCTCCTCTCTTGTGGAACCAACTTCCAATTTCTGTCCGTGAGGCTGACACATTGTCCAGTTTTAAGACTTCCCTTTTTGATAAATTCTATAGTTAGGGTCGGCTTGGGTTTCCTGAGCTGTCCCTTAGTTATGCTGCTATAGGCTTAGACTGCTGGAGGACAAACTGACCACACTTTTTCACTCTGCTACTGTCTTTACTTACTCTGCTCAACCTGTTTGTATTTGTAATTATTTTTCTATCCTTAACGTGTTTTTGGTCTTTCCTCCTATAGAAAGTACATGTGGACTATCAATCAATCATTCAATCAATCAACTTTATTTCTATAGCACATTTTAAAAACCTCAGGAGTAGTCAAAGTGCTGTACAATAAGACAAATAATAGATGAAGACAATAAAAACAGACACGTAGCAGGTTCACAGCAGGTGTGTTTTAAGATTCTATACAAGATCAGATCACGTATTAAAAGTTTGTTTTTACATAAAAGAGATTTAAAAGAGGAAGCGAAGCGGTTTGTCTGACACTCAGGGTAAGTTGCTCCACAACCTGGGAGCAGCAACAGTAAACGCTCTGTCACCTCTGAGCTTCAGCCTTTAGGGACTGTCAGCAGCAGCTGATCAGCTGATCGTAGGGATCAGGGTGGGCAGTAAGGCTGAAGCAGCTCAGACAGATCTGGTGGGACAAGGTTGTTCAGACATTTAAAGACAAACAGCAAAAGATTCAAATGAATTATGTAGTGCACAGGGAGCCAATGAAGGGACACCAGGATGAGAGTGATGTGCTCGCACCAACGGGCTTGAGTTAAGAGGCGAGCAGCAGAGCTCTGCACATGCTGCAGCCGGGCAGGAGAGGTCTGACTAATGCCTGCACACATGCAACCTTTATTTAGATAGGTTAGTCTCATTGATACAGAGCATTACAGTCAAGACGAGCTGTGACAAAAGACTCATGGATTCATTTCTCCAAGTCAGGTCTTGCTAAGATTGGTTGATAAAAACTTTTCTGAAGAACACTGCTCATCTGTTTTTCAAATTTAAAATCAGACTCAAACTTCACCCCCAGACTGATGACACAGTCCCTGAGATAAAATGACAGTGAGCCAAGATCTACACTGGGAGAGGGACACCAACTCGGTCCAAACATCATAACGTCACTCTTTTTCTCATTTAGACTAAGGAAGTTAAGAGAAAACCACGTCTTAACATCATTGAGGCAGTGTGGAAGATGCTGGACTGTTGTTTTGTACCATGGGAAAATAGATCTGGCAACAATCAGAATAGAAGTGAAATGAAATGCCATGCTTCCTAAAAACAGAGCTGAGGGGGAGTAGGTAAAGAGCAAATAAAAGAGGGCCAAGGATTGAGCCCTGGGGGACACCATGTGGAAAAGGAGCTGTGGAAGACATAAAATTGTCAAATTTTACACAAAAACTTCTACTGTATACAAACTATAGAATTATAAACTATAGAAAGTACACCTGGACTTGTCATTCTGTTTGTCTGTTTCTACTTCCTGTCCTCTCAAACCCCGCCGGTCGGAGCAGATGGACACTCGTGGCTAACGAAGTCAACAAAAGAAACTCACGGACACGTCCTCTCGTAGCGTCATACTACCAACCTACAGGTGTGACGCTGCTCAACTTCCTTCCTGTCACATGACCCCTCCAGTCCTCCCATCAGGTCACGATCAGGACAACAAAGACAAAAAACCTGAACTTTATTTTCCTTCCAGAGCGTTTGAGAAGCTGACTGAGGCAAAAACACACAACGTTATCAGTTTCAGCTTGACCTTTGACCTCTCCTCTAAATAAAGGTCGAGTGGAGCGGCCGCCGCGACGGATATGAAAGAAAAGCTGCTGAAGATAGAAACACTTTCTATCGTCTGTGTTTTATATGATCCGAGCCATGGAAGACCGACATCTTTACTGAAATAGTTACATTCAGTTTTGGTTGAAATGACAGGAGACGATCAGAACCACAGCAAAAACTGAAGAAATCCAGACTTTCAGTTTAGAACCTCGGAGTTCTGAAAAAT